ACGACTACGAAGTTACAGGTCGCAACTGGTTGCAATCTGTGTTTTGCCACAGACGCCTGTATTCAAGTCATCTGAATTGATGTTTTTGCCACAAGTTACAGAACGCAACTGGTTGCAATCTGTATTTTGCCACAGAAACCTGTATTCAAGTCATCTGATTTGATGTTTTTGCCACAAGTTACAGAACGCAACTGGTTGCAATCTGGTTTTTGCCACAGAAACCTGTATTCAAGTCATCTGAATTGATGTTTTTGCCACAAGTTACAGAACGCAACTGGTTGCAATCTGGTTTTTGCCACAGAAACCTGTATTCAAGTCATATGAATTGATGTTTTTGCCACAAGTTACAGAACGCAACTGGTTGCAATCTGTATTTTGCCACAGAAACCTGTATTCCAGTCATCTGAATTGATGGTTTTGCCACAAGTTACAGAACGCAACTGGTTGCAATCTGTATTTTGCCACAGAAACCTGTATTCCAGTCATCTGAATTGATGGTTTTGCCACAAGTTACAGAACGCAACTGGTTGCAATCTGTATTTTGCCACAGACCTTGTATTCCAGTCATCTGAATTGATGTTTTTGCCACAAGTTACAGAACGCAACTGGTTGCAATCTGTGTTTAGCTACACAAGCCTGTATTGAAGTCATCTGAAATGATGGTTTTGCCACAAGTTACAGAACGCAACTGGTTGCAATCTGTGTTTTGCCACAGAAACCTGTATTCAAGTCATCTGAATTGATGGTTTTCCAACAAGTTACAGAACGCAACTGGTTGCAATCTGTATTTTGCCACAGAAACCTGTATTCAAGTCATCTGAATTGATGGTTTTGCCACAAGTTACAGAACGCAACTGGTTGCAATCTGTTTTTTGCCACACAAACCTGTATTCCAGTCATCTGAATTGATGTTTTTGCCACAAGTTACAGAACGCAACTGGTTGCAATCTGTATTTTGCCACAGCAGAAACCTGTATTCCAGTCATCTGAATTGATGTTTTTGCCACAAGTTACAGAACGCAACTGGTTGCAATCTGTATTTTGCCACAGAAACCTGTATTCAAGTCATCTGAATTGATGGTTTTGCCACAAGTTACAGAACGCAACTGGTTGCAATCTGGTTTTTGCCACAGAAACCTGTATTCAAGTCATCTGAATTGATGTTTTTGCCACAAGTTACAGAACGCAACTGGTTGCAATCTGTTTTTTGCCACAGAAACCTGTATTCAAGTCATATGAATTGATGTTTTTGCCACAAGTTACAGAACGCAACTGGTTGCAATCTGTATTTTGCCACAGAAACCTGTATTCAAAATTCCAGTCATCTGAATTGATGGTTTTGCCACAAGTTACAGAACGCAACTGGTTGCAATCTGTATTTTGCCACAGAAACCTGTATTCCAGTCATCTGAATTGATGGGTTTTGCCACAAGTTACAGAACGCAACTGGTTGCAATCTGTATTTTGCCACAGACCTTGTATTCCAGTCATCTGAATTGATGTTTTTGCCACAAGTTACAGAACGCAACTGGTTGCAATCTGTGTTTAGCTACACAAGCCTGTATTGAAGTCATCTGAAATGATGGTTTTGCCACAAGTTACAGAACGCAACTGGTTGCAATCTGTGTTTTGCCACAGAAACCTGTATTCAAGTCATCTGAATTGATGGTTTTCCAACAAGTTACAGAACGCAACTGGTTGCAATCTGTATTTTGCCACAGAAACCTGTATTCAAGTCATCTGAATTGATGGTTTTGCCACAAGTTACAGAACGCAACTGGTTGCAATCTGTTTTTTGCCACACAAACCTGTATTCCAGTCATCTGAATTGATGTTTTTGCCACAAGTTACAGAACGCAACTGGTTGCAATCTGTATTTTGCACACAGAAACCTGTATTCCAGTCATCTGAATTGATGTTTTTGCCACAAGTTACAGAACGCAACTGGTTGCAATCTGTATTTTGCCACAGAAACCTGTATTCCAGTCATCTGAATTGATGGTTTTGCCACAAGTTACAGAACGCAACTGGTTGCAATCTGGTTTTTGCCACAGAAACCTGTATTCAAGTCATCTGAATTGATGTTTTTGCCACAAGTTACAGAACGCAACTGGTTGCAATCTGTTTTTTGCCACAGAAACCTGTATTCAAGTCATATGAATTGATGTTTTTGCCACAAGTTACAGAACGCAACTGGTTGCAATCTGTATTTTGCCACAGAAACCTGTATTCAAAATTCCAGTCATCTGAATTGATGTTTTTGCCACAAGTTACAGAACGCAACTGGTTGCAATCTGTATTTTGCCACAGAAACCTGTATTCAAGTCATCTGAATTGATGGGTTTTGCCACAAGTTACAGAACGCAACTGGTTGCAACCTGTTTTTTTGCAGCAGAAACCTGCAACTAAGAATCATCTCAATTCATGGTTGTGTGAGAAAAATACAGAACCCAACCGGTTGCAAGCGAATGCCATGCCTCGTCGTCGGGCGCAAGCAGTGTTGTGCCACCGCAGGTGTAGGGTTTGGGGGTTTAGGGTGTAAAGGTTAGGGCTCTTAAAGGCCTGCAACGACAGGGTTAGAGGCGCTATAGGGTTTAAGGTCAAGGGGTTCAGGGCCTCAGGTTCAGGGTTTATGTGGTTCGGGGTTTCGAGCATAAGGTTCAGGGGTTCAGGGTTACCAGGGCTGAGGTGAAGGTTGATGGCATGTGCAAATTGGGGGCTTGGCAACTATTGCTATGGATGAGTTTAGCCTTACAATTCAGGATGAGGCATCATGTTCAGAGCTCAGGGGAGTAGGGCTTCGGGGGTTTGGGTTTAGGGTTCAGGGTTAAAGAATTTTGGCATTTAGGGTCTTGCTTCGGGCTTCTGGGCAAGCACTCTAAACCCCAACCCCAAAACCCGAGCCGACCCCCACCAAGGCACCCTGAACAACTCAAGACCTGCATAAAGCCCCACTACCTGCCTAAGCCAAGAGGGGGCTTGTTCAACCCCCACCAAGGCACCCTGAACAACACAAGACCTGCATAAAACCCCACTACCTGCCTAAGCCAAGAGGGGGCTTGTTCAACCCCCACCAAGGCACCCTGAAAAACTCCAGCACCTGCCTAAAAAACCCACTACTTGCCTAAGCCAAGAGGGGGCTTGTTCAACCCCCACCAAGGCACCCTGAATAACCCTATCACCCCACTAAGCCAAGAGGGGGCTTGTTCAACCCCCACCGAGGCACCCTGAATGACCCCGAAGACTAATATCCCTGCACCCAAAACCATCTAAGCCCTAGCAACCAAAGAGTTTAAGACTTGGGATTTAGGGAGTCGGCTTAGGGTTTAAGAGTTTAGGGTCGTGTTCATAGCTGCTGCAAAACTGTTCCATGAGTGTGATGTGTGGTGTTAAAAAACGGTTTCCCATGTGATTTGCTGACAACAAGTTTGATTTGGCAAAACGACAGTTGAGCACACCAGAGGAAAACATGCAAAACATTTAAAATATGCACAAATATTTCGGTGTATGTGTGTGCCCAAAGCATGAAAACATGTGTGTTGGCTCCACAAAACTCAGCTTCAAAGCATGACATAATTGGTGTTTTTTGTGCTTTTTTTGCTTTCTTTCCACGGCAGGACTCGGAGGGTGAAACACCCAATCGGAAATGAAAACCCCAAATGACACGATAGTGGCTTAATGGTGCGAGAGCAGCGTGAAGGCGCCCGAGCACTGGCGCCGGCCGTTCATGAAGGACGGGCCGGCTGCCGGGCAGCAATACGCGAGCGTGAAGGCAGCCTTCGTGTCGAAGCTCGTCTGTCCTGTCTTGGATTACGCCGCTAGCTATTCTTTACTCCAGTTCCAATTTGATCGTTACATCCTGCGGGATGTGGCTGCACGGTGGACCATTGGGCAGGAGGAGGGATTGCCAGGCGACCGTGCCTTCAAAGCCAGACACTGGAGTCCGGGCACTGGCGAAGGCATCACAGACTCCTGGTGGACGTGGTGGAGGTTTTTGGAGAGCCCGATTTATTCGTGACGATCAGCCCCTGGGAATGGTCGTTTCCTTTTCCCTATTGGATCGACCGGGCTCACAAGCTCCTGAAGAGAGGCCCCGCGGACCTTCCTGGGCCGGAGACGTTAGCGATCGCCCACGCGCTGCAACAAGCCTGTGAAGGGTTCCTGGCGGGCTGTACTGGCGCCAATGCGCAAAGGTGGCGGAGCAATATTTTCCGTTCCAAGGCCGATGCCCGGCTCCCGGGAGTCCGGTGCTATTTTGGTCGTTTTGAATTTCAAGACCATGGCCTGCAGCAGGAGTATGGCAAAGGCCGGGGGACGCCACATGTCCACATACTCTTTTGGCTGGATCGTATCCCGGAGCTAATGCTCCATCATCAGATCCTGGCGCACCTGCCCCCGGCCGACCCTGAACTGATGCAGCTCGCCCGCCGAGTGCTCTGCAGCATGAGCACGGCCACGCGGGCTCCATACCGCGAAGCTGCGGCGGCCGTCTCTTGGAACGAGAAAGAGCAGCGTTGGGCCATAGCCTTGCCTCACTATGGAGAGTGGTGGCAGGCTGGTCTACGGCCGTGCCTAAAGTCCATTCTGCGGATCTTCCGCTGCGCCCAGGATGTGCAATGGTGGCACGGGCGAGGAGCGCTTCTCCGATACGTTGCCGGTTACGTATCGAAGTACGGAGAGAGCATCCTATCGAAAAGCTTGGACTTGCACGCGTCCGCCTTGCACGCTAGCCTCCACGTATGCCGGACGTGGAAGGCCGCTGCACCGGAGCAAGTCATGGCACTTGCCCGGGAGGCGATGTCGTTCACAAACCTCCCGACTTTGGAATTCGTCCCGCCGCAGCCAGACGTGGCCGAGACGGACATCATCTATAGCTACCGAAATCGCCCTGTGGAGCTAGCCACGTGGACCCTCCTGCAATGGCTGCGGTGGTACCACTGAGTCTGGACGACGCCACGTGTCGAGTCAAGAAGTACCGACGACAGCATGCTGTGGCGGTGATGTTTTTTCGAGAGACACGGGATGTCTTCTTCTATCAATGGCTGCTGCTGTACAAAGCCCACCGTTCTGCGCAGGAGCTTCTGCCCACTGAAGCATTGAAGGTGGAGCAAGCGAGGAGGCACCAGGCAGCGGCGGTGCTGCTGATGCCCGAGTGTTGGGCCAACGATGTCTGGATTGAGAAGCACCTCGCGCGAAACGGACATCGAGCTGATTACATCACCACCAGACTGGCGCAGCTGCGCGCGGAACGGCACGTGATCCAGCAACAGCTGCTTGGGAGATGGCCGCGACAGCTGCGTACTTGCAACGGAGGCACGCCTTCCAACTCTGAACAGAGAGCAGCAGCGGGTCCTGGAGGTGGTGCTGCAGTACACAGAGCAGCGGCAAGATGCTTTAGAGCACAATCCCACAGCCAGGCACTTCTGCTTGACGGGTGGCCCGGGCACTGGTAAAACGGTGGTGGTGGATCATTTGGTGGAGGACAGCAGTGCCCGAGGATGGAACGTGCTGTTGCTATGCCCTACGGGGAAGCTGGCCTGCCGGAAAGTGCACCAGGAGGGCGTGACATCCATCACCCTGCAGCGGCTCGTGGCTATGGAGAACGTCACTTCAATGGCGAATTTTGCTAGCCAACACGTGGTCTGGATCCTGTGTGAAACCGGCATGGTGACGCGGAACCAGTGGGAGCAGCTCTACTATGTCTGGAAGGCTTGCGAGTGCAGCCCGACCCTATTGGCGGAAGGAGATTTCCAACAGCTCCCACCCCCGGTGCAGGATGCAGCAGCAGATGCGCGGCACTCCGCCAGTTTGCACTGGGAACGCGCTTTCCGCCTGACTGTGCAGCACCGCTGCAAGGACGCGGTTGCTGCAGTTTGTAGGATTACAGTGTGGCAGGGTAGGGACTGAGAGCATAGAGTCGTTTACTGCACTTCATGTTTGCGTTGCCTGTCAGGACTCCGAGTTCCGCGTCTTCCAAGACGAAATCCGTGCCCAGCAGCCGGCACGAGAACGGATCGAGGAGGTTCTGGGTGGCTGCCACTGGAGCCAGGACGTGGATGGCGCGTCGGTCACGGCGGCGCGGAAGCACCTCCCGGAAGCGCTGGTACTGTGCAGCACCCGGGCCATGCAGGCAGCTATTAACGCTGCCGCCATCGAAGCGGAGGAGCCACACTTTGTTGTTTCATCTAAGAACTGGCTTACAATAAGTAGAGAAGCATAAACGCCGTTGCGCCAGTGCAATGCAGGAGGCAGATTTCTTGGCAGACGTGCCGGCTTGGTTCACCAGTGGTCCTCTCACACCGCTCTGCCCCAGAATTTTTGAAAACAGATCCCCCTTCTTGAGAGAAGCGTTTTCACCAGTAGTCCTCTCAGACCGCTCTGCCCCAGAATTTCTGAAAACAGATCCCCCTTCTTTGGAGAGACGTTCTCACCAGTAGTCCTCTCACACCGCTCTGCCCCCGAACTTCTGAAAGCAGCTCCCCCTTCTTTGGAGAGACGTTCTCACCGGTAGTCTTCTCACACCGCTCTGCCCCAGAATTTTTGAAAACAGATCCCCCTTCTTTGGAGAGACGTTCTCACCAGTAGTCCTCTCAGACCGCTCTGCCCCGGAATTTTTGAAAACAGCTTCCCCTTCTTTGGAGAGACGTTCTCACCAGTAGTCCTCTCACACCGCTCTGCCCCCGAACTTTTGAAAACAGCTCCCCCTTCTTGAGAGAAGCGTTTTCACCACTAGTCGTCTTGCACCGCTCTGCACCCAATTTTCTGAAAACAGATCCCCCTTTCTTGAGAGAAGCGTTTTCACCAGTAGTCTTCTCACACCGCTCTGCCCGAGGGTTTTTTGAAACAGATCCCCCTTCTTGGAGAGCCGTTGTCACCAGTAGTCCTGTTACTCTGCTCTGCCCCAGAATTCTTGAAAAAGTTCCCCCTTCCTCGGGAAATTTTTGGCCAGTAGCCTTTACCCGCATTTGCCGCGACATCTTTACAGATCCCCCTTCTCAACGAGAAGTTTCGCCAGCAGACCTTCCAACCAGAATTTTTGAAAAAGTTCCCCCTTCCTCGGGAAAATTTTGGCCAGTAGCCTTCTACCCGCCTTTGCCGCGACAGCGTTGAAAACAGATCCCCCTTTTCCACGAGAAGTTTCCCCAGCAAACCCTCCAGCCAGAATTCTTGAAAAAGTTCCCCCTTCTCCGGGAAAATTTTGGCCAAGCCTTCTACCCGCCTTTGCCGCGAAAGCTTTGAAAACAGATCCCCCTCTCCACAAGAAGTTTCGCCAGCAAACCCTCCAGCCAGAATTTTCGAAGAAGTTCCCCCTTCCTCGGGAAAATTTTGGCCAGTAGCCTTCTACCCGCCTTTGCCGCGAAAGCTTTGAAAACAGATCCCCCTGCTTTCGCGAAAAAGTTTCGCCAGGAAACTCTCCAGCCAGAATTTTTGGAAAAAGGTCCCCCTTCCTCGGGAAAATTTTGGCCAGTAGCCTTCTACCCGCCTTTGCCGCGAAAGCTTTGAAAACAGATCCCCCTTCTCCGCGAACAGTTTCGCCAGGAAACCCTCCAGCCAGAATTTCTGAAAAAGTTCCCCTTTCCTCGGGAAAATTTTGGCCACTAGCCTTGTACCCGCCTTTGCCGCGAAAGCTTTGAAAACAGATCCCCCTGCTTTCGCGAAAAAGTTACGCCAGGAAACTCTCCAGCCAGAATTTTTGAAAAAGTTCCCCCTTCCTCGAGAAAATTTTGGCCAGTAGCCTTCTACCCGCCTTTGCCGCGAAAGCTTTGAAAACAGATCCCCCTTCTCCGCGAACAGTTTCGCCAGGAAACCCTCCAGCCAGAATTTTTGAAAAAGTTCCCTTTTCCTCAGGAATATTTGGGCCAGTAGCCTTCTACCCGCCTTTGCCGCGAAAGCGTTGAAAACAGATCCCCCTTCTCCACGAACAGTTTCGCCAGGAAATCCTCCAGCCAACCTTTTTGAAAAAGTTCCCCCTTTCAACAAGTTCCCCATCCTCAACCATGTCTGCAAGAAGCTGTTGAAAGTCTTTTCTTCCACCTCACCACTGCAACATTTCTTCGCGCGCCGCTGTTTTCTTTAGTCCCTCGCTCCACCGGAAGACTGCAACCCTTCGCTTCTCCCTCTTCGTGAACCGTTTTGCTGCTCCTAGCTGTTGGTTTCGGGCGTCTTCTGTTCCACCTGGCGCCTGCAACTTCTCTTCGCTCGCAGCTGTCTTCTTTTAGTCCCTCGCTCCACCTGAACACTGCAACCCTCGCTCGTGTAAGCTGTCCCTCTCTGTCTCTGAAGCCTTTTGCTGCTCCTCGCTGTTGCTGTTGGGAGTCTTCTGTTCCACCTGGAGCCTGCAACCTTCGCTGCTGTCTCTCCTGGCTAGCTTTCCCTCTAGACTGCTGCTCTCTTTCGCTCTTGTCCTTGTGCACCTTCCCTAGCCTTTGTCCCACGTATCTGTCTTAGAAACCTCTTCTCTCGGCTGCACCTCGCGGGTCCTTGTGCTCAAGCCTTCGACTGCACAGCTGCTGCTCACCACCAGCACCTTGGCTGCTGCCACGCTTCGGTTACCACCTACCGTTCCTAGTCTTTGTTCCTTACTGCCTTCGCGCACACACGTAGCTGCTTATGATATGTCACGGGAACCACCCTGCGAAGTTCCCTGCACTGTTTTGCCCACGAGCCCAACCCCAAACCGGAGCCAGGATACCCGCGGAAGATCAAGTGCTGGAACCAACCAGGTCAGAACCAGCGCCCAGCCGCCCACGCCCCAGCAGCGCTCGCCACCAGAGTCGCACCGCAGCCATCGTTCGCTCCACACAGCACCTGACAGGGCAAAACCACAAGCTCCCCCTTAAGCTTACAGGAACCTGTCAGAAAAGCACGTTAGCAACGTCAGGATGAAATGCTCCAAGTTGCTTCTGCTCCCGATCAGTCACCGAATGGCTCCCACTCTCCACCGTCAAGACATCGATGCTAAGCCAGATCCCACAGAGCATTTCCCTTGCAATTGCACAGAGCCAGGCACTTACAACCGACCGCTGGAAGGGAAACCCGACACACGAAGAGCGCGCCAACACCTCCGCATGACAGGACTCGACTCACGCTGCGTGCTATCTAAGCAAGACCGAATCACTGTGGGAAGCTGTTTGCCAGCTGTCACCGGCCAGGAGCACCTGGCAGGGGCTTTGTAATACAAGGCTTTCCCTCCGAAGCATTGGAAGAGGCTTACAGGAAACCCGGGTCGTCTAAGACAGAAAGAGGGGCTTAGACGGAGCATCCTAGGAGCCCTCCACCCACCCACACCACTCCAGAAGAAAGAAAGCAACAAAGCGTCGGACTCAACACGTCACCGAGTTGCGTCTGCCAACAAACCGACTAGAGAAGAATAGAACCGTTGGAACCAAACGACGACCGGTGCTGTGCTCGAGCCACCAGTACTCACGGTATGCATGTCGGAGTGCGTTTGCAGTTCCGATCGCCAACGGCAACGTCACGGGAGACTGTCCAGGGTTCTGTCACCCAGGCTGGAGCCATGTCCAACCGAGGTAACTGAGCCTTTTCAGCTCCTTGCGTCCCTTCTCAGCGTAGTAGCTCCAGGACCAGCGCTTACTCTATTCTCTCTAGCCCTGACTTAGCCATCGAAGCTTAGTGGGGTCTGAAGCACAGCGTTGGAGCTTGTGACTCCATTTGAAGTTTCTCCGACACAGCCGAGCTGTGCCCACAAGCTGGGTTCTGTCGCTTGACGACTCTCATAGGTGGCTAGGACTGCATGGTGCTCGTCCAAATGCAGCTAAGGACCTGTTCCTGCGTCCTCCCGTATCAGTCCATGGACTTGCTCTGTGTTCGGATGCAGACTTTCAACGATAAGTTCTCAATCCCGTCTTCCTCCCTATGTTCACTAGGACATTCACTCTCAGCCGAGGTCAATCCACTTGCTTTGAGCCTGCACAAACGTGTTGCGTCTTCTGGCGAAGCCGAAGATATCATCCGACATCAAGTAAAGAGGTCCGTCTAGGACATTCACTCTCCGCCGAAATCTATCCACTTGCCATGAGCCTGCACAAGCGTATTGCGTCTTCTGGCGAGGCCGAGGATATCATTCGACGTCGAGCAAAGAGGTCCCCCTCGTGAACACAATAGGATGCAGGGACTTATCTAGTCCGTCTTCTTCCAACATGGATCATGACCATGTCTGACACGGATCCGTATTCATTGACACAGGACCAGGTCCGAGCATTTGTTAGAACCGCCCCACAGGTCCGGACGCCCAAAGAACTTGGACTAGCAGTTCCTAATCCGTGGCCACCATAGCATAACCGAATGCAGTGGGCGACTGAAGCATTTTCGCTGTTCTTTTGCTTGGCTGCTTGCAAGCAAGCTTCAGGCCACCGCAGGTGCTCAACTATGGCAGCTCCCTACGAGATGTTGGATGTCGTCAACTGTGGGGAAGCAGCTCGCGATTCCTTGGCATCCTTCGCACCAACCATCTTGGCTGCCCTTTGCCCCTGGTACAACCTGCACTTGAGGACCCTTGATGCAGTTGAACCAGACCTTTGTCACCGTCCACTTTTTTCCAGAAACCGAAGCTTCATTCGGATGTGACAGGGCAAAACGCCGTGAGCGAAATCGGTCTTCTAAGATTCCCTTCATGTCCACTGGTAGAACCTGCACTTGAGGACGCTTGAAGCCTTGCTCCTCGAAGCTGCGTTTGGTGCGCCAGCCACGCATGTGCGAGGCTGCACATTGAAAGACCTGGGGACCAGGAAAACGGCCAGTAGGATCCCTTACGAAGCTTGCAACTCTGAAGCTCTCAAGTGCCTAGCATCTCTGCTCTTACAATTGCGTGCCACTAACGCCTAGTTACTACTACAGTCAGTTTCTTTGCAAGCGTCCCCATGTCTGCCACAGCTCACGGCAAAAATGGCCAGTAGGCAAGCTTATTAGAAAGAAAAGGGGTATTTGAACATGCTCCAACTAACATTCCAACGACGTGTTCATGCTTCATCTCTCTATTATCCTATAAGCATTTTTAAGAGTTGAGAGATGAAGCTAGGCAGAGGCCGTTCGCTAATTTCAACATGTTCAAGTTGCCGTTTCTGATAAACTGCTCAATACAATGATCGCAGCCATGAAAGGCCATCATTACACGGCACGAATAATGACGGACGCTTTCATGATCACATGTATGAGCACACTCCACAAATACCTTTGCTCCATACCCTATGTCGTTCAAAA